GCCTGTATGCGCCGTGGCGGTCGGGCGGTCCGCGGATTCCATGTGATGCGGCCGACAATGGCCGGGCCGAGGGTCGGCACGGAGAACATTCAACCTGCAGTTGTTACTTTGGTCCTTTGCACCAGATGGTTCATGTCAATCAATTACTCTCTTCCATCCGACTAAATCAGGGGCCCTGATGTCCATTTTGTCCCGGTCCCGTCCCGGTGCAGGGACTGCATGACAAGGTGTGGCCGCCCGCAGCACACAGATCAGATAACCCAAAAAAAATCGAATGCTAGATAAAAATAAAAAAAAGAACAACACACGTTAGCCGCGCACCCGTCGCGCCACTCCATCGTCAAGAATCCCTGCCCTCATACCCTTCATCACGGCAAGGAGTCCTCGTACTCCCCCATCTCAATGCAAAACCTCACCATGGTCCCAACTCTCGCGGGCGGTCCCGGTGGACATTCGGCATGTGCGGCTCCACAAACATCCCCCCCCATGCGCCCATGTTTCCCAATAACTCGGAGATGAGAAACCACAGCAGCATTACTCCGTAGCCCATCATCCCCACGGACCACAAGCCATCAAGGGGGTCACGAGGGGCAATACTGCTGCAGGGTGTACTCTGTACACCGACTTTGCGGCGTCATCTGGGCGTATTCCGCATGTTGGCAGCTGGTCGTATTTACCATGCTTACCCTTTTGTCCCGTACCAAGTGCTCCGAATGTTGCTCTGCCATGCGCGGCATTTTTACATTATTGAGCCAGGCTATACTGTCCAATAACCTTGACGACTCGGCGATTCATGTACGCAAAGCAATCACGTATGCAGTAGGTCTATGCTGGAGCGAAAGTATCCTGGCATCAAAACTGTCAATTTCATCAACTCCAAATTCAGTATTTTATATCGTGTTGAAATATTTTGCCATGCCTATACCGTATCGGCAAAGTCACAATTACTTCACAGAGAAAAAACGCAACTATAAAACCTACACCAACACGGCTCATCTAGACCACATATCTAAACGTGACGCCATCGCCATCTTGCCCATGCCTCACGCACAGCTTCAAACATGACATCACATCGGGCAAAACTCCTGCAGCGCGGTATGCCAGCTCATTAAGCTCTACAAACAAATATATGCCCCTCGCAAAATTAACCATACAAAAATAATGTTCCCTCCACAAACCAGGCATCCATTCCTCCCTGACCTCAATCCAGAGTCCGGCAAGCTTTTCATTTCAAACACGCATTATCCCTCTAATGCCTGTTCCGCGCAACGAACAAACAACAAAAAGACGATAAAAAGCAGCACCATCCGCCAAATGTGCCAAAAAATTACTCCGTCGCCCTGATGCGGTATATCCCTGATTAACAATCCAGCCACGTCTAGAAGCAGCCCGCAAACGCCGAAAATGAGCAAGAGAAAAGGGGAAAAGTGGACAGCAAAGAAAAATGAACAATGAGGCCAAGATCAACAGGCTGAGGAGTGTGGTGACCTGTTCTTGGAAAAGAAGTATGTGGAATAAGTCATGAATCTCGTAATGACAAACGAATCGTAGACGTGGATTCGTTTGCGAAAGCCTCCGCAAATTCCGTGTGATTGATCGACCGTTCAGACGGATTATGTGAAGGCGATTTACATCCGCCAATCTGCGTATGGCTTGCCGATGTGTAGTGGGGTGACGTCACGACATATCAGTTTAGCCCTCGGTAGAAACCAACAAGCTGTTTGAGTACGGCAGCATATCTGATAAGTCGTCAGTCTGTCCGCGCACTGGGCGAATGGGAGCCGAGTGATGCGGCAGAGTGAAACCGGCATCCAGCGCGTGCTGAACGACGGTCGCGGCCTCCTTGAATCTCTTCTCCTGGTACTTCTCATACACAGCGCTGTGATGTAGAGCAGGCTGTTCACAACACTCAATCATCATTGTAACCAAAGGCTTTAACTGGGCCCAAGTATATCCAGAGTAGTGGACATGTGCCTTGGTCTAAAACATGGAGTTAGCAACAGCACTACAACAGAATCCCGCACGGTGCAAAGAAACATACCCAATCGCCTTTCTTCAAAATCAATCGCGATAAACAATGAGCTCCAGCAGCCAAGAAGCTAGGGGGCGACGCGACGAACCGCTCGTCCATAATGGTCAGCTCAAGGAAATACTTGGCCAGCGTGCGGGTGTCGAGATCGTAGTCGTCGGCCTTGCTAACTCGACGGAGGAAGCTCATGGGCCCTGGCCAACCAAGCTCGAAACTGAGCATGCTGAGCATGAAACGCTCAGCCTTGAGGATCTCTTCGGGGCTGTAGCCGCGATCCACCATGTAGACAATCTCTTCCAGAGATGGGCAGTTGATTTCTTCGTACTTGGAGGCTATGAGGATGGCGGTTGCGCCAACCAGCTGCAACTTGCCGATCGAGACAATCTTGCAAGAAAGGAATCTGTCAATATAGTTGACAGTCAGAAACAGCGTCTCGGGCAACAAGCTGAATCGGTTGTGAACCTGGACCAGCCAATCCATCAGGACGGAACGCATCGACCACTGGATTTCGGTCTGCATTTCCATATAGTGCGGGTTTGGCTGCATTTTGATCTAAAGATGTGGCAAACGTTAGCGCGGGGATATCAACTGCAATTTGAACCAAACGAAAAAAAAAAACGTACTTCCAGCTCACGCAGATACTCGAAAATCTCCTCTCCATACTCGGCAACCATGCTGACATCCCACATCTCCTCTTCAATATCATTCAGCGAGCGAGTCTGTTGAACTTCAAGCCTAGCCTCTTCCAGCTCACGCTGGATCTTGGACGTCAGACGAGGAGCGAGAATAGTTGTCACGCCTCCTGTGGTGAGATTTTGGGATCGGAAGGAATGCGCGGTAGTGTAGGCTTGATCCTGGTCGTCGTAATCTTCATCTTCATCCTCGTCCCAATATTCCTCGGCTTCTGAAAGTACCTGTGTGTGTGACTCTCTGGAGGGGATGGGGATGTGCTGAGGCTCTTCAGTGATGTGAGAAGGTTTGGAAGGAGCAAGTTCAACATATTCTTCCGAGGCAGCGTGATTCACTTCCTCAATCGGCTGACGCGGAGCAACGGTATACGGAAGATCAGCGCAAGTTTGCTCCTCAACAATCCGAGAAGGCATACCAACCAAGTCGGGGCCTGAAGATCGCGCAGCCTTGCCAGAGGCAAAGTCTGCTCTCTCAAACTGCTTGCTCTGGGTTCTGCGAAGCGTAGGCTGATTCTGCTGCTTCAGTTGAGGCTGACTCTTGTGATGACGCGGTTGCAAGGGAGGGACATCGAAAGAGCCGCGGAAAGAAGGTAAAATTACCTCCCTATCTGATTCATGTGCTGCTCGGGGCCGTGCAACGCCAGCAGGGCGTGGATTGCTGGCCACAACGGCAGTTGAGGCAATAGCAGCCAACTCTGGAACAGCGCTGGTAGTCGACTTTTTGCCCGTATCAGGTGCGACTAGAACCTTGGGTTTGCTCGACAATCCGTTGGATAACCTTTGTGCAGGGCGAGCGAAAGAGTCCTTGCCGTTGACATAATAAGGGGCATTCTCCTTATTTATCAAGGCAGCTGTCGAAACACCCGTCACCGTCTGCAGCTTAGCCATCTTCGCATCGTCACGGCTGCCGACCGTGTTCTTGGACATGTTGGTCACGTCACCAAAGGCTGCGCGCTTGGCAGGGCCTCGGAAGCCAACGGCGGCGGCAGCACCAGCAGCCATAGCGGCAAGATTACCGGTCGATTTGTGCCGTTGATGCAGAGGAGCAATATTTTCGGCACCGCGAGGTCGAAAGGGCTAGCGCGAAGAGAAAAGTTAGCCAGGTCGGATCTCCAAAGGGAATTTAATAGACAGCATGAGGACCAAGCTTTTGTCAGCTGCCAACGAAAAGAGAGGGACCCAATCGACGTGGGAATAATGCATACCCTTGCGTCCATGGTGTCCAGACAAACTAAATGCAGAAATGAACAAGAACAACAAATTCGCGAGGATATCAAACAACGCCTTTCTCGAGGAAGGCAGAGCGCAGAGGCAAGCGTAAGCCACCCGTCTTCGTAACGACTGGAACCGATCGCGTCGAGGTTATCATGCAAAAGAGAACGGGAATTTCGGTGCGGAAATAATATTCGAATTTTTGCGGCACGCTCAGGCTTTGTTGTTCCCTTGATTGGCGTCGACGGGAGCGTTCAAGAGACGCGAGACTCTAAGACGTGTCTCAGCCGGAGCAGATTGCGGCAAGATGGCTAGCTGTTCAGAAGGTGTGGACAATCGAGAGCGACGTCCCTGCCCGAAATGCCGACGAAGAAGCAGTGAACAGAAGGTGGGAAGAAGAAGAAGAAGAAGAAGAATCGTCGCCACAAAGGTCAAGACAGAAACAGCCGACAGGATGATAATGTAGAGTGCTTTTGCATCCCCAATGGAAGGGTATCGTATATACACACGCCTCGTTGCAGTTTTGGGAAAGATGGCGTGTTGAAGGTGGCCAGACAGGAGTGAAGGGATGTAAAAAAAAGGGATGACGCCAGACGCAGTATCCAGCTCAATTCGCCCGGGGTGCGGTAGTCAAGCGGCCGAAAAATTAAGATAAGAAATGAAATAAGCCAGACTGGAATAAGGGCAGCCGGCGACGGAATTGATTCATTTACCAAGACCCTGCACGAGAGAAGGGGAAATTGGGCGACGGACCGGGGACAGGGCAAAACCGTCGCAATCTAACAGCAGAAGTGCTCGGGGAGAAGAGCTTTTGGAGGCTTAAGAAACAGTGAGTCCAAGGTGAGAAAAAAGTCGAGGGATAAAATGACAACAAAAATAGAAGACGATGATTTTGGGCATGTTGCTCAAGCAAAACATAGCTCCATCGCTCGTCGCCACGGGTACGTCTGCGTCTTGCGTCTGTGTCTGCGTCTCCGGAGTACTTGGCACGGCTGCGTACTATTTTTGCACAAAGCGCAACCGCATGCATGCATAACATCCGATAGTACTCCGCATGGCAAAGACGTCAATTACTACGTAGTACCAGTATGTACCCGGCTACTCAGTATGTATGTGCATACAGACGGCGCCTGAATGAGCTCGTCGACACTGAACAGTACCTACTAGGTAGGCTTGTGCATGGCAAGGGTGTAGCCGGAAACGTGGAGCCTTGGACCAGGCTGTTGTTTGTTTGTTTACGGAGTGCATATTGTGTGGCGGTGGTTATGGATGCAGTGACCACCAGCTACTCCGTTGTTCGTACCCCAGCCAGGCGACTTCAACACCAAACTGAAATCCACAGACCGCGCTGCCTTGTCCGAACCAGATCGCATCTATTCCATAGCCTAAATCACCAACCAAGAAAGAAGAAGAAAATACAGCAAATATGCGGCCATGTTCACCAGAGAGCACCAAGCCTGCTGAGCGCGTCAACCTTGGCACCTCACAAATTCATTCCTTGGTGCACAGACCAGATTGCGGCCCGTTCGTCCCCCTCGAAACAAGACAGCTTCAGACTAGCCTTGTCCACCCGTCGTCCAGACGATGACGATTGTCCAATCCGTTCTCAGTCAAATACCGAAAATCAATACACATGGCGCTAATCCTAATCAGGTCATCCCCCCCTCTGTCGCGTCTCACAAACATCTAAATCTCGACCTCGCAGAAGCAGAAACTTTCACAGTATCGATGGGAATCTTCAGAATAAAAAGAAAATCCTTGTCAAAATCAATCTTTGTTATTTCCCAAGTACCTACGGCTTTTTAAAGCAATAAAATCTGTCAAACGCGGTCAGCGCAACTGCAAGCACCCTCGCAACCTAGCGCGCCGACAATTCAGGTACCGCAGCACCAACAGTACGCGACAGCACGTGATCCTTCTTATCGCCTAATTGATCCGCGATTTCGCTTGAAACCGGGCGTTGAGGGGAACACCAGGATCAGGGATAATACCAATCGCCAGCCAAGATGGCTTGGGGAAATAGTCCAAAATGCGCCAGCACACTCGACAGCTTTCTGAAGTCAACTCGAGTGCTCTTCAAAGCCACGCAAAAACTGCCATCCTTTCGAAGTTAGCGCCATATCGCACCTAGCATCCTTTTGAAATAAGTTTGGTACGCGCCGAATGGTCGCCCTAGCGCCTCGTCATCTTTGATCCAGCCCATCGTTTCATCATCGCTTGTTCTCTGCCGCTCACTCGTTCAGAGTCGTACCTACCTGAGGGCGCCTTCGAGCATGGACATATGTATATCTGGCGGCAATGGCGCGCCTGCCAGTGTTGTACAATTGTCGCATTGCTTTAGTTGCAATCTTGGTGCCCAAACATAGCAATGGCGGTTTCAAATTATCGAAAATTTGCGCGACGCGGGATTTGGTGATTGACTGATGACTGACAACTTGACGACCTAGCCGTCTCAACGCTGCTCTTAACCCGCCATGTGCAATCGCAAACATGTGCCGTTAGGGTGTCATCGCCGCACAGCAATGCCATCATCCAAAGTGCCCTCTTCAGGGACTTCTTTTCCAGGCGCTTTCCCGTTCCAACTGTCAGTTTATCGAGTGCCATGGCTCTGCGTTGACGAAAGGCATTACTCACGAAGCATGCCTGGGCTATTCTAGGCCATTTGATTTTTGCGCCAGCCCTAGTCTATATCACTTTCGCCTCGAATCACCTTTGAATAGGGTAGCTTGTTGCATGTGCTGGCCGTGTCTTCATCCCCAGTTCCTCCATGCGCCATACTCCCCACGACGTCATGTATTTATGCAAAATAGGAATTCGGCTGTGAGAGGTAGGTGCAGCCAAGTGTATGTCATGCTGATCCTTTATGTCAACCTTCACCGCATTGGAGCACTTTTGTAACGCCAGACTTTTGGCATTGATCCCGACCCAAACGTTGGAGGACGCTTGCTATCCTCGATAAGAAATCCTGAGGTCCAGCACTCGTAGCTTTGAACAGTCTTACCTCTTCCAAAACCCACCTTTTGAGAATAGACCTATTGGTTCACCGAAGCTTTATCGGCTCCGAGTCCCTTGATGAGTTTTCTCGGCGGAAGAGCGAGTCGTGGAGTCACCGGCCTTAAACTGTGTGTGTAGAGAGAGAGAGAGAGAGAGAGTCATGCATCCGTAATACTTGACAGAATCCGACGTAGGGTGTGCCAGCGGTCTGTTTTGCTCCGCCCCAACCTCAATTCTGATACCCAATCTCTCTGAACTATGGCTGCTTTTGAGGGCTTGAGAAAATATTCTGATATTTTGTTTTCTCGTATAAATATATACTCATACTCTGCCCGCTCCGACCAGTTACCTGTGGTTGCTGCCCGTGGAGACCTGATGCCAGCATCACTCTCAGGGAAGGCAAAATGACACCTCCCCTCGAAGCCGATACGTGATGCTGTAAAGTCGAATACTGTCAAATAAAAGATGGCACACAATGGCGCCACCAGAGAACCAAACGACTAGAAATATGGCTTTGAGTGCAGCAAATTAAGCCATGTCATGGCCAGGAGCCACGGCGCCAACCACTGAGCTTATCTTGCTCATAAATTGGAGGCGATCATTGGTATCAAGAATGCCTGTTCATCAGCATTGTCCATAGGTAAGGCAAGACGTCGGGTTCTGTGGCCGTCGCCTTGAGTCGCATACAGACAAGATAGACCCTCCCCCCTTCCCTTCCTCACACCGTAACTCTGTGTGCCCCTGGACATAATCCTATTGGCAGACGAGTCGCGCTGGTTGCATCCCATTTCTATCTGCCAGGATCCGGGCCAAACAAGTGGAAATGCCGGGTTGAATATACTAAGTGCCTTTGCTGGCACCATAGAGTGGCGCCGATTGGACCCATTGAAGTCGGGCTGGCCCTCTGAAGTGGCCGGTGCGTCAATAGACAAGGTAATAAATCGTGCTAAGTAAAGAAATGCTTTGTGCCATGTCGGTGCTTACGGGCTCTCGTCGTATCAGACACTACAATCAGCACGCTTGCTACGGAGTACATACCTTCGTAGAGCCCTTCTCGTCGCTCTTGGAATTCAGCTCTCATCAAGCGTTGTGGCGACAGTTAGAGTGGGGACCACTGTGCAATTCCATATGCATCTTCTCTGCCATTGACGAATCTATCGAGATACTTCATACTGCCGATTCGTGCTTTGTTCGCATGTGCTAAGCCAAGGCAGCCCCTGCACTAGTCGCTCCAAACTGATCTGATGCAGACATCCTACATCTTTTACGGAGCTTGCTGCTGGCGAAGGCTCTTGATATAGCGCTCATGGCGGCGACCGTTCACGGACTAGACGACCGGTCCTCTGTGAGATACAGCGTCGCCATAGCCTGGCAAGAGGCCAAGCGCAATTTTAAAGGATGGAAACAACGGAAGAATGCGATGCGACACAAATCAGCCATGGTTTTTGAATGCGCCCTGAAACCGCGGGTCAGAAACCAGGTTGGAAGATGGCCCGTTACCTAGACCATGCGTGCGCCAGATATGGATGAATCCTGTGCCACGAGGCACGTCGCAAATCAGTAAGCTCTACGGAGTACTCCGTTCAAGTCACCCCCGTAACGGTAGCCGTCTTGACTGTTGACAGCCAAGATACCGACCGTCTAAGCATTTTCATAATCGTCGGCAAAATATTTTTTTTGCGTGCATTTGCGTTGCAACGGGCGCCTAGCTGAATCAACATGATTGTGATTGAACACTCGAAATCGGACGAACTTATTCATCGCTAGCCCATGACTAGTTATCCACGTACCAATAC